TACCTATTAGAATTAGTAGCAAGCTGGTCTTATTTTCTCTCGCATAGATTAAGGATGTTTTCTTTTGGACTGAAATTTGCTGGTCTGATCTGATCCAGTCTGAAATGGTCTAGTCTAGTCGGATAAATGTCTTGTTTTTTAACGAAAAACAACACTTTATTAATGACGAAGAAAGGGAAAATACAAGAGTGAAAAATGAAGAAGGAATGAGAAGAAAGGGAAAAACAAAAATACAAAAAACAACCCAACCCCAAGTTTGCAAAATGCCCCTCCAAAAAATGCCCTAAGAAACAACTCAGTCGATACTTGCAAATTCCACTCGTGTTTGGGATCTAGTCCTCATAAGATGCGATCTCTGTTTCTTTTTTCTGTAAATCTTAATTTGAGTATTCAGGTTCTCTGTAGGAAGACAATTTTCTCCGGTAACAAATTGGGTTTTGTTACAAATATCTTGATTTGTATCGGAGTCTCATAGATCTTCCATCGATGAAATAGGTGCCCTCTTCCCACTTTCAGAAGCATGACCATAGAAATCATCCCCAGAGTATAAAAATAATTGCTCTTCATAGACACCTTCACTATCAAAATCCGTAGAGTATTGATTACCTATAGAATGAAACATCCCTAGGAAGCCCGACTCCTGTGTTTGCACAATCAGTAGCTTTCTCCGCATCAACAGGTTTGTTGTTCAAAGAGTCACAATTAGCTAAAGCTGATATGAGAATTTTGTCGAATTCATTAAGTAAAAATTTAGAAAGTGAGTCCACCCCCTTAGTCATTTTAGTTTGAATTAATTCCTTAAGAGAGTCAAAAATAGTTTGCTCAGATTTGTGGAAGTCGTCAGAAGAGTGCCACTCCAAAGAATTATCAGTGCAATCCAATTTCTCAATATCAACTTCCAAGAGGGCTTCTGAAATGGAGATGTCTCTGTGAATTTTATAACTACGGAAGTCTGGTCTAATCTGGTCTGATCTGATTTGGTCTGGTCTGGGAGTGAAAACGATCCCAAAGAAAACATCCTAAGTAACCTATGGAGTTGAAGAATGACTAGAAGAATGGGGGAATTAAAAAAGATTATTTGCTACCCTAGCCTATGTTATTATTCTTGCTCACGACGACTTTTTAGGTGGTTGAATGGTGTGGGTGGGTTTTAATCCATGGCATAGTAGTGTCTTAATTTACAGGGGTATAAGTGGAAATTTATAAAATAGAATCAAATGTTGAATTTTTTCTGCATATGGGAAAGGTGTTGATGCCTTTTCAAAAACACAAGGGGATAATATGCATGTTTTATACTACATGAGGAGATTTGTGCAATTTACCCGCTTAATTAGAATAGAGCGTACATTTTCTGGAATGCTTATGCTCTTTTTTTATAATATAAATAAAATTAGAATTATTTCATTAAGAAATAATTCTTCAAATTATGACCCATTGTTTAAATTTCCCAAATAGGAGTAAATATTTGTTTTTAGACAAAAAAAAATAGTCTACAGTGCTCGCAATCATCTTGAACTGCCATAACATTGTGCATCGCAGCCAGAGCGTCTAATCGGCTACTTGCGGCATCTTGCTTCGCTGAACATTTTTTTCCTTCTTTTTGTAAGAGACATATGTACTACGGAGTATTAATTTTAACCACGAATATGAATAAAGCTACGTGTACCTTGTGATTAAAACCATATGTGAATATGGTTTTATGTAGACTTAAATTTTATGATTGGTTAATACTACCTTCGTCCCTTAAAACTTTGTCAAGTTTGACCGGCACGGGGATTAATAAAGTAAAAACTGTATGGTTGAAGTTTGTGCAGAAGAAAGAGAATTAACTGGAACCACAAATTCTTTACTTCTAAAAACAATCCAAGTAAATGTTTCGTAGTAACAAATAATTTAATAGGGAGTATTAATTCAGTTCGTATACCGTGGGATCTTCCCACGGTGAGCACCCTGCTCCTGCTTTCAAAACGACGCAGTTTGCATAAAAAAAATTAATTGAAAATTTTCACGCATGAACAGTACACGCGTGAACAGTAACCGTTTTTATTTTTTTTATTGTTCCAGTAGCAGAATGATGTAACTCGCGTGTAAATAAATGTAACACACCTTAATAAGAAATGTCAATGCAAGCAAGTCGATATGTAACTTGTCTAAAACATTGATTTCAATGTAAATAATAAAAAAGGAATCTAATTGCTAAATAACTTTACCTAAATGGTGAATATGTATTTTTTTTATATTAAGACCATAAAAAGTTTCAAAGAAATCAAGTTTTCCTCAAAAAATCATTTTGTATTAGCAAACAAATTGATTCATTTTTTTTGTTTCAATAAAAGAGATTTATTTTGTGATGTAACTCGTGTTATGAAAAATGTAATTCGGTTTGATATAAAATCTAACTTAGGTGTATGCAAAATGTAACTTGTTAAGGCAAGCCCAAATGTGACTCTCGCATAAAAAGATGTAACTCAGACATAATAAAATGTAACACGTACATAATAATATGTAACTTCATATAATATTAAATGTAACTTGTTAAGAGAAGTCCAAATATAACTCGCACACATAAATGATGTAACTCGCGCACAGAAAATTGTAATTGCTAGTATTTTCGAATGTAACTTGAGTCAAGAAAAAGTAAATTGTCCAATGAATTTTTCTCAAACGCACTCCACATCTAAATTATTAAGGTTTATTGCTCTTTCCAGTACCACAAAAATAAAAAATTGAAGAATAATGTCAACAAGGCAAGGCAGCAACGTTGAGAAAGTTAGAAACAATCATAGCCGCTGAATCCAACATCTGATGTTAAATCAAAGGAAAAAAATTGCTTTTAGTTTTAGAAGGGTTGTGGCGTTGTGCGTAGATCAAAGCTGGTTGAAAGCAGAGCTTGAAGAATGTGAGGCATAAAGTGCTCCAATCGGGTATGCTCTGGTTTGTTTGCGTCGGTGCTCTTAACAGCTGCGGTGGAAATCGATCGATAGATGTTCTGTTTAATAAAGTGGTGTCGTTTTGGGATCGGCACACAGTGCTCACGGTGTGCCGATACCACGGTATAATTTGCGGTATTAATCTAGACGAAAAATGAGATTCCATAGATGACCGGTAGTATAAAAGAAAAAAAAATACGGCTGTAGGAATAGAACCCAGTCTAATTCGTTGAATACTAAGCTAGTAAGCTCTACTTCCAATACGCCGCTGCACTCATTTATCATATATAGTCTCTTCTCTAAATGCATTTCGCTCGCATAGATTAATTTGGTCAAACATATAATAACGCATAATCGTATACTACTCCCTCTAGGGTTAAATTTTCTTCTCTTTTAACATATCTGTTCATTTAATATGTAATGTACTTGGAAATCCCATTAGTAAGTCGGGTTGGACCGACTTCTGTGATTCAAAGATGATTAAAATGTTTTGCCAGACATGCCGAAATTGTATTCATTATTATAATGGTTCTTAAAAAACCCGAATTCGTATCAAATAAAGCATATACTTCGGCTTTCTTCTGCCCGAACTCCAGCTCGTAAACACAAAAGCTGCATGATTTAATACAAAGTTTGGGCTCTGAATTTTTAGAAGATTTTTTTACATCGGAAGAACAAATTTTTTCTTTCATGTTTTCAAACGCTTCTTCAATTTGGCGGTGAGTTAAAAAGGTGGATTTGGCATTTTTATATTGTTTTTAGGAAGGGAAAAAGGATCAAATACACCCTTTTACTATTATGAAAAATCATCTAACCCCATATACTAGAAAAACCATCAAATAAGTGCATGTACTTGTAGAAAAACATCAAATGGAGCAAATTACCGGAGAGCTACCGGCCATAACAAGTTGCTGACTTTTTTGTTCCTTTATGTTAGATCCACAATATTGGGCTTGTGTATTATTCATTTTATTTAGTTTTGTTTATTCTTTCTTGGGCCAAGGGCTTGTGTTTTTCGGCCATCTTATGTATAAATACCTTGTAAATGATTGATCAATGACAGACTTTTTCCTTGGCCAATACCGAACCTAAACCGCAATATGGTATTAGAGCCCTCTTAGGGGTCTTCGGCGTCTTCTCTCGACAATCGCGACACCAGCGTGAAACGCGACTGCCATGGCCGTTGACCTTACCTCTCCGTATTACCTCGGGCCTGGTGATCAGCCCGGAAATCTTATTACTCATGTAACTTTTAAAGGAGACAATTATGTGGGATGGTCTCGTGCGATTACCCTATCCTTGAAGGCTCGACGTAAAGCTTGCTTCATCGATGGAACTCTTCTCAAACCAACTGAAGCAGCGAGACTGCCGGACTGGGAAACCAATAACTCAATGGTGGTTTCTTGGTTGCTGCGAAGCATGGAACCCAACGTGGTTGTATCCATACCATTTCATGACGAGGCTCGAGCACTTTGGTTGTACTTGGAGAAACGATTTAGTGTTGCTAATGGACCACGTCTTCAACAGCTCCGCGCATCTATAACGCAGTGCAAGCAGATGAAGAATGCGTCTGTGGACGAATATTTTACAACATTGATGGGACTATTTGACGAACTCAACCGGCTTAAACTTCTCCACACGTGCACGTGTGGATTATGTACGTGTGGAGTGGCAGCAAAATTCGCTGCAGACCGGGAAGAAGAAAACTTCATCAATTTTTGATTGGGATTGATGATGAATTGTATGGGACCACTCGTTCCAATTTACTTTCGCACACTCCTATTCCAGACTTGAATCGCGCACATCAGGTGATTCTTCAAGAAGAAAATTCGAGGGTCATCGTTCGTGGAAAACAACCGGCTCCCATTGTTGACGTTCACGCATTTGCTGTCACAAAAAATCGTCCGGATAGGGCTGAACAGATGAAGCTTTTATGTGGTCATTGCAAACAAAAGGGGCACAAAATTGGGAATTGTTTCAAGCTTCACGGCTATCCGGAGTGGTGGGAAGAACGCAATCGCAATAAAGCAGTCACCGGTGCAGCTCGTGATGGCGTCCGAGAGAGCGCTGGTCGTGGAGGGGGGGGGGGGGGGGCTGCTCGAACTCATGCTGTGTCCCCGGCTCTGCTGCCAGCAGGTGGCAGTGAGTTTGCCTCCACCAGCAAGTCAGTCAACAACCTTGATGGTATTACTGCGGAGCAAGTCCAGGCTTTACTGAAACTAATTAATGTTGAGAATAATTCGGGGGACTGAATGTCAGGTACGTGCTCTATTTTACCATGGATACTCGATACTGGGGCATCTCATCATGTCACAGGGGATGTATCATGTCTCGCACATCGTGCTCAAATTCAAGCTTGTCCAGTTGGTTTACCTGATGGACGGACAGTGGCAGCCACAGTGGAAGGACGTGTATTTTTGTCTCGAAGTTTGGCACTCGATCACGTGCTATACGTGCCTGGCTTGAATTGCAATCTCATATGTATTTGGGTGATCCTTTTTTAAGTAGAAGGGTTTAAGTGATGTTTTTACTATAGTACATGGGCTTATTTGACCCTTTTTCCTTGTTTTTATCATAGAGGAGATTAATTTTTAAAAATTCACGCATCTTGTCAAATTCGACTTTATACAAAATTATCAAATTATTAAGAGATGCATAAATTTGTATTTTCCATTAGATCGTAATATTTTAATTTCTCAAAAACTCTAATTAAAGGGTAAGCTTAGTGTTCACTTTTTAAAAAATTATTAAAGGGGTATATACATTGTTCTAAAACTCGCTAGGCGCTAGTCGGGCGGTTGTGGGGCGCCTAGCGCCTAGGCGGCCGACTAGGCCAATTTTTTGGCCGACTAGGCCGATTTTTTGGCCGACTAGGCCGACTAGGCCTCTACGGTTAGGGCCGACTAGGCCGCCTAGGCCGATTAATCGGTCCGCCTAGGCCGATTTTTAGAACAGTGGGTATATATAAGAACACTTATTCACAAAAGTATTCTTGACCGGGCTGAACTTGCAAGTGTACAAGTGCCGATATAGTAATAAATTCCGGTAAAATACCGGGTCGAATCCACAGGGAAACGTTGTTTAATTCAAGTCCGAGAGTAGATAACTTTAAATATTTGAAATGAGTAAAGTGCAAGGAGTTTGAGTTGTGTTTTATATTTTTGGCTTTTCACTTTTAATTCAAGGAAATAACCTTGATTAATTCGGATTTAAGATGAAAGATAACAACGGCTAAGGCTTCGGGAATCACTTAAATGCTTTAATAGGGTTGAATATTAGTTTTTTACCAATAATTATGAATACGATGTCGCTAATATATTCTCAACTCCTGTTAAGGCAGCGAGAGCGTGGTTTTCGTTACGTGTAAGTCCCGTTACGGCTTACATTCATCTACCGAAAACCCCGTTGAATATCAAGACATCACACTCGTATCATATAATACCGGATATATTTCTATTCTCGGTAATATATATGTTTATCCTTTAATGTTCATAGTTTAGACCTCAACGTTAATTGCAAGCATAAACTAAGTTTAACATACTTCTATGTTGTACACCATAGTCATAAACAATCAAAATGTAAAGGATAAATCACAATTTATTGGTTTAGAACTTTTATCAAACACCTAGTGGGCATAGAAGTTCATCCCTAGCCTTAGCTAAGAAATTAGCTCCTTGAGCTCATATTAATTACAAAAGTGTAACTAAGAACAATGAAATACAATGACATACAAGAAATAATACCTAGAACCAATTGTAGAGGAGAGAAATGGCTTCTTCTCCAACACTTCAAGAGAATGCAAAAAGAAAATATAAAAAGTAAAATTTAAGCTTCAAGGATGGATTGATGATCTTGTTTGATGGATTGGGGGCTTTATATAGGCTAAAGATTGACATCTTTTAGTCTATTCGAGCCCAACAATCAAGCATGGAAGATATATTTGATTAGCTCATGAGGAAGGTGAGTTTTTTCCATCAAAATATTTCAGCACGTTCTTTTGTATTTGCAGGATCAGACCTACCCGGCGCCGGGTTCAGGCCTACCCGGCGCCGGTTCTTCATTGTGCGCAGGGAAATCTGAAATTTTGACATACCCGGCGCCGGTTATAAGGCCTACCCGGCGCCGGGTAAGCTACTGGTTTGTGTATATGTGAAAATCAACAAACGGGCGCCGGTTTGGTGCAAATTCCGGCGCCGGTTTTGTCCTGGGATTTTGGGGATGTTCCGCTACGCATTTGGACATGATTCCTTCACCAAAGTTGTATATAATGAAGTCTTCTATCCAACAAAACTTGAATGACATGATTTTATTCAGCCAATCAAGAGATATGGATAAAACACTGAGAGGTATGCATCCTGAAATCCCACCAGCAACATCTGACTTTGTTGGTTGATTGAGTCTTGTTCCTTTCATATTTTGGTCATGACGTCTTCATAACATTTGTACCTTATTGAGTTAGCATTCACATGAAACTCGAATCGAGTGATTTTGAGTTCTATAGAATACGTTATACTCAAATTATGGGCAGAACATCATTCTCTTGGTCCAAAAAGTCGTTCATCGCAATGTTTTATGATCTAGCTCTCATTCTGGAGGTATTTGCCCGATTTCTCTTCTTTTCTTCAACAAATACTTATAAATACTTATGTTAAACACAAGTAAATATAACGGCTATCAAATCCCCCCACACTTGAGCATTGCTCGTCCTCGAGCAATTTCTTCACCTTGGATGCCTTGGTTAGTTTCAACAAAAATATATGCACAAAAATAATTTTATTTTAAGAGAGGTAAAAATGACATATAAACTCTTTTATCATTCTCGGTCCAAAAACCATTTTTTTTTTCAATTAAACACAAAAAGTATCATTTAGATTTAGAAAACTACTAATACTCTTGAAAATAAAGGAATGATTTGTGACTATGGTTTTTTGGTGTTTTTGACTTTTAAGTTGTATGAATCAATTGAACTTCCTAGATGAGACCATGAGTTTTTTTCTTTTTTTTTTCTTTTTTTTTTCTTTTTTTTTTTAAACTCATTTGAAAAGGTCTTCAACTTGTATTTACTGAAAGTCATTTGATGATGCCAATTTATTTGATGAGGTGTGAGAGTGGGTTTTGTGTTCCAAAATGGTGCTTGAATGTAGTATTTGACCATTTTTGGAAATGCAGGAAGGAGATGCTTTCTAGTCACAAGGTTTATTTTTTTGGAGTAGTTTTCAAAAGTAAAGAGTAGTCTAAAAAAATGATAGGTTTTTGTAAGTAATTAAAAAAAACTTTCTCAATCAAATACCCGTTAAAAAGAGAATTATCACAACTTTTACCTTCCTAAAAAAAATATTTTGCACACACAAATTTGTTTAACTAACCATGAGATACACCCCCACACTTGAGTTACATTGTCCTCAATGTACATTGGAGGATGCAATGGAGGATGAAATCTTCAATAGCGGAATGGGCCGTCTTGTGAGAGTAGGAGATGCACGATACATGAGTTTAGATGATGCTTTTTTTTTGTTTTTTTTTTGTTTTTTTTGTGTTGTTTCAATTATAAATAAATATGAATATGTATTTAACTAAACATATTTATTTATAATTGAATTTGTTGGGTTGCCTCCCAATTAGCGCTCAGTTTTATGTCATAGGCCGGACGCACTTACCTCTTTTGTGCAGCTGAATTCCCGCAGGCGTTTAGCTAGTAAGACCTCTCTTTTAAAATCTTGCGGGGGAGCCGAGGATGCGGAGCTATTATTTTCAATATTGAGAAGAGTATCACCCGGGTAAAAAATGTACCTTTTTGGCGTATCCCGATTATGTCCTCCTTTCTTGTTGGAGTATCCTTCTTGAATGGAAAAGAGGTCTCCTCTACCATTTGGAGGCGTGAGAACATTAGCTTCTGATTTCAAGAAATTTTCTAGAGTGGGTTGTACTCTCCACACATGAAATATGTCATTTTTATCTTCCACAAATAGCTTTCTAGTCCCGTCGTGTACTTCAAGTATGTCTGAGGTCTTCTTGCTCTCCGGAACTTTGAGATCCTCCTTTCCTCTTTTGCTTTCCGTTGTGATGACCATGGTACTTCCTGCTATAGTAACTTGTTGAGCAAGTTGGTCAATCTGCAATTGTAGAGTGTGGAAGGAGCTTTTGGTATCTCGCTCGAGGTTGTCCATCCTTTGATTAAGAATTGTGTTTTGATTTTCAATTCGGATGTCAAGTTTGGTAAATTGAGAATGGAGATTCTCAACGGATGCCTCAATTCTACTATAATGTTTTTCATTTTGAGCTTGAATACTTGTAGTAAGAAACATCATCTCTTCCATGGTGGACTGAAAGTTTGAAGAACTCCCTTGCGGTTTCCAATTGTTGTCTTGGTTCCCCTTTTGTTGATTAGAAGAGTTGTAGTAGTTATTACCGATGTTTCCTTCACTCTAGAGAACTTTATGTCTCTAGCTTGAAAATGTGGGTTATAAGCAACAATGGGCATCTTGATCTCATTTAGTGAAGGATATTTTTTTTTTGTGTTTGCACACTCTTTCAACTTCGGGACCAAAGTTTTACTTAGATCCTTGAACTTTTATGAGTATGACAAAGCATTTTTGTTTAAAAAAAAACTAACACTACTACACAACAAGGGAAATGCAAAAAAAATGATATTTGTGAACTTTATTAAACAAGACCGTTTCCCCGGCAACGGCGCCAAAAACTTGACCGGGCTGAACTTGCAAGTGTACAAGTGCCGATATAGTAATAAATTCCGGTAAAATACCGGGTCGAATCCACAGGGAAACGTTGTTTAATTCAAGTCCGAGAGTAGATAACTTTAAATATTTGAAATGAGTAAAGTGCAAGGAGTTTGAGTTGTGTTTTATATTTTTGGCTTTTCATCACTTTTAATTCAAGGAAATAACCTTGATTAATTCGGATTTAAGATGAAAGATAACAACGGCTAAGGCTTCGGGAATCACTTAAATGCTTTAATAGGGTTGAATATTAGTTTTTTACCAATAATTATGAATACGATGTCGCTAATATATTCTCAACTCCTGTTAAGGCAGCGAGAGCGTGGTTTTCGTTACGTGTAAGTCCCGTTACGGCTTACATTCATCTACCGAAAACCCCGTTGAATATCAAGACATCACACTCGTATCATATAATACCGGATATATTTCTATTCTCGGTAATATATATGTTTATCCTTTAATGTTCATAGTTTAGACCTCAACGTTAATTGCAAGCATAAACTAAGTTTAACATACTTCTATGTTGTACACCATAGTCATAAACAATCAAAATGTAAAGGATAAATCACAATTTATTGGTTTAGAACTTTTATCAAACACCTAGTGGGCATAGAAGTTCATCCCTAGCCTTAGCTAAGAAATTAGCTCCTTGAGCTCATATTAATTACAAAAGTGTAACTAAGAACAATGAAATACAATGACATACAAGAAATAATACCTAGAACCAATTGTAGAGGAGAGAAATGGCTTCTTCTCCAACACTTCAAGAGAATGCAAAAAGAAAATATAAAAAGTAAAATTTAAGCTTCAAGGATGGATTGATGATCTTGTTTGATGGATTGGGGGCTTTATATAGGCTAAAGATTGACATCTTTTAGTCTATTCGAGCCCAACAATCAAGCATGGAAGATATATTTGATTAGCTCATGAGGAAGGTGAGTTTTTTCCATCAAAATATTTCAGCACGTTCTTTTGTATTTGCAGGATCAGACCTACCCGGCGCCGGGTTCAGGCCTACCCGGCGCCGGTTCTTCATTGTGCGCAGGGAAATCTGAAATTTTGACATACCCGGCGCCGGTTATAAGGCCTACCCGGCGCCGGGTAAGCTACTGGTTTGTGTATATGTGAAAATCAACAAACGGGCGCCGGTTTGGTGCAAATTCCGGCGCCGGTTTTGTCCTGGGATTTTGGGGATGTTCCGCTACGCATTTGGACATGATTCCTTCACCAAAGTTGTATATAATGAAGTCTTCTATCCAACAAAACTTGAATGACATGATTTTATTCAGCCAATCAAGAGATATGGATAAAACACTGAGAGGTATGCATCCTGAAATCCCACCAGCAACATCTGACTTTGTTGGTTGATTGAGTCTTGTTCCTTTCATATTTTGGTCATGACGTCTTCATAACATTTGTACCTTATTGAGTTAGCATTCACATGAAACTCGAATCGAGTGATTTTGAGCTCTATAGAATACGTTATACTCAAATTATGGGCAGAACATCATTTCTCTTGGTCCAAAAAGTCGTTCATCGCAATGTTTTATGATCTAGCTCTCATTCTGGAGGTATTTGCCCGATTTCTCTTCTTTTCTTCAACAAATACTTATAAATACTTATGTTAAACACAAGTAAATATAACGGCTATCAAATCTTTACTCGAACTAACTAGTTCCTGGTTGGAATTATGAGTATCTAACCATCATGCTTAAATTAGATGGAGAAAAAATATACGTAGGATAGTTTAGTTTTACAGGTACAAATATATAGTGCCTATTTGCACATTTAAGTTTAGTTTTAGTCCTATATGTGACATTTACTCTTAATATTTTTAGAAATCTTTATGTGTTAAAATTATACGGGACATTTGAAAATTATAATGTGGTGTATTGTTTTGTAGTGGATAATTTGTACTTTTGAAATATATTATTAGGCATTGGAATTAATTAATTAAACAGAGACAACTGCATATAATAATCGTACTGCCTCTAAATCTACGGCGTGTTTAGTAGTGTATGTGTGACAGTGTGAGGAAATGATTATTATATGTGTGACCTAAATCTAAGTTAGACAAATTAGTATAGAGAAGAAACGTTAACAAATAATGATAGGAGATGATTGAATGACATAATAAAGAGTTCGTATATTGTACCGACTGTACGGCTTATACCATAGACGATGACATTTTCAATAATTTATGTGAAAATAGTGAATATTGTCAAACGAGCATTAATGTATATTTAGTGATCATCAAACATATTTTAGTGAGTATTGGGTTTTTAATAATGAACATTGTGATATCCGCTTTATATCTACAATATAATGAACTTGTAAGATCATTCACTCTTTCTTAAGATATCTCGTGTTCAATACTCAATGTAGTGAGTTTGATCTCACTTTATCTCAGGCCTCCAACCCCTCTATCCCAGATTCCCCAGATAAAAAAAAAACTAAAAAAAAACTAGTTTTGAAATATACATGGCGGTGACATTTTAAAAATGAACTGTATACCAATATCAAATTGGAAAAATAGCTTATAAATTGAGAAAAAAAAATCAAACAAAACTCATTTATAAAATGAGCAGAAAAAATTCAAAAAAACTCATTTATAATCTCTATAGTCTATATGCTCAAATTGTATAGGTTCATATCAGCATAGCGTAAAAAAGCACCAACATATTGGGAAATGGAATTGCAATTGAGGTAAGCTCAATTTTCATTTGTGTAGGCCACTTCTAGTATGCTAAAATTTTGATTTATGTTTGTTTATTTGAATTTTGTAAAGTGCTCAAATATTCATTTATGTATGTTCATTTCTTTTAACCGTTATGCGAATTTATTCTAAACACTGAATTTATTGTTAATATAACATATGTCGCAAAACTTATGTTAGAAAATAACAAGGTGAAAATATTAAAATACAATACTAAAATACAAGCTGAAATCGTGGCTGACGATTAGGCAAGTAATTTGAATTAAAATAATGAATTCTCTTACTTTAAATTACGTATGAAACATGGCCTTATATAAGGCTGTAGCCAATCGGCTATACAATAGCAAAACAGAGAAAGAAAGTCCCAGAAGGAAACTACCTTCTTGGGATAGAATCCTACCAAAATTAAGAAGTTTAAAATTAAATAAAATATCCCTAATGATCTGTGCCATATAAGCGTAATACCCCCTCAAGTTGGAGCATGAGGGTCAAGAATGCCTAACTTGCGCAACAGAAATTGAAATTGCATCTTCCCCAGAGCTTTTGTAAAAATGTCACCAAGCTGAATTGTAGTAGGAACATAGGTGGGAGCAATAAGATTGTCTTGAATAGCATTTCGAACAAAATGGCAATCAACCTCGATGTGTTAAGTGCGCTCGTGAAAGACAGGATTCCGTGCAATATGAAGAGCTGATTGACTATCGCAATGAAGAGGAATCGCCTAAGGGTGATGAATACCCAAACTGAGAAGCAGAGCTTTAAGCCATTTTAATTCGCATGTAGCAGCAGCCATGGAACGATATTCTGCTTCTGCAGAAGAAAACGGGCCACAGTGGTTTGTTTCTTGGTTTTCCAAAAAATTGGTGAATGTCCAAGAAACACCAACCATCTAGACAAAGATTTCCTTGTAAGAGGACATGCAGCCCAATCTAAATCGCACCAGCCAATAAGGGAGAGATCACCATCAGTCCGTAAAAGAATACCTTGACCAGGAGACCCTTTGAGATAATGAACAACACGAAGTGTCGAGTTCCAATGTTCAGTCCTGGGATTTTGCAAAAACTGGGATAAAATGTGAACCGCATAGGCAAGATCATGGCGTGTCACAACCAAATAAATAAGGCATCCCACGAGGCGTCGATACTGCTCGGGATCCGAAAGAAGAGGACCGGAAGCGTGAGCAAGGTCATGATTTTGCTCAATAGGAGATATTGCAGGTTTGGCCCCAAGCAATCCAATTTCAGTAATAATATCTAAAGCATACTTCCGTTGAGTAAGAAAGAGACCAGAGGAGCTTCATGCAACCTCAATCCCTAAGAAATATTTTAATTTCCCCAAATCTTTTATGTAGAAACATTCACTCAAGTAACTTTTAAAGGAAACAATTGCACCCGAATCATTCCCAAAGATAATCATATCATCCACATAGACAAGCACGTTCAATTGAACACTGCCGCGAGTGAGAGTGAATAGAGAATAGTGATAAAAAGACTGGATAAATCCATATCCTTTAAGAGCAGTAACTAGTTTGGCAAACCAGCAGCGTGGCGCCTGTTTCAAACCATACAAGGATTTGTGCAGCCTGCAAACCAAGTTAGAATTCGTGGTTTTATAACCAGGCGGGGCCATCATATAAACTTCTTCATGAAGCTCACCATGGAGAAAAGCATTGTGGACATCCATTTGATGGAGCTCCCAATTTTTACAGGCTGCAACCGCAAGAAATGCGCAAACTATCACCATCTTGGAAACTGGAGCAATAGTTTCATTATAGTCAAGACCAGCAACTTGACGGTTGTCAAAGATTACCAGACGAGCCTTATAGCGCTCCACACTACCGTCATATTTATATTTGATCTTGTAGACCCAACGACATCCCAATGCTCGTTTTCCAGCCGGGAGCGGGACCAATGTCCATGTGGCATTCCTTTCAAGAGCTTGGATTTCAGAATTCATTGCATCACGCCATTCAGGGTCTTTGACAGCATCATGAAAAGATTGAGGTTCTACGCCAGAAGAGACAGCTGCAAGAAACACACGGTGTGGTGCAGAAAAATTATCACAACTAACATAGTTTGAGATAGGGAAAGGAGTACCTTAGAAAGATGGAGGATGAGGTGGAGAAGAGGAAATGGGACTGCGTGCCACTACAGTGTGGGTGACATAATCTTGTAATCGGACTGTAGGCTTTCTGAGACGTTGACCGCGACTCAAAGTAACATCATCTGGCTCCTGAACATCCTCAATAAAAGTGACGGGGTGGTCCGTAGTATGTGGATCAGAAGTGGCGGGCATAGATAGAGAAATAGAAGGTGGCTCACTCACAGGCGTTGGTGGAGCAGGAACTGCGACAGAGACATCATCACAGTCCAAAATTTCAGCAACTACTGGTTCCATCGTGATGGGTGTATCCAACGGAATATTAGCAAAGGGGAATTGGTCTTCAACGAATTTCACATCGCGAGACACAAAATATTCATGAGATTCCAAGTCATACATATTCCACCCCTTTTTCCCAAAAATATATCCGACAAAAACACAACGCCGACTTCTAGTAGCAAATTTATCCCCCTTTGATGTAAGGTTGTAAGCATAACACAAGCAACCAAACACCCGTACGGATTTATAACAGGGTGGTACATCAAAGAGAATTTCATAAGGAGTTTTAAACTGGAGCACAGAGCATGGGGTACGATTAATTAATGTGCAGCCATTAATACACATTCTCCCCAAAAAGAAATCGGAAGGCTAGCTTGAAAGCATAAAGCACGAGCCACATTAAGAATGTGTTGATGCTTGCGTTCAACCTGACCATTCTGTTGTGGTGTTCCCACACAAGATGTCGGAAATATGATTCCACTAGCCCGAAAAAAATCCTTTAAAAAATTAAACTTCGTGCCATTATCAATCCTCACAATAGAGATCTTTTTGGAAAAATATCGTTCAACCATGGCTATAAAAGACAACCACACTGCACGGGAATAATCATCCACGATAGTAAAAAACAATTTAGCACCACACGCAGAGGCCGTATTATATGGAACCCGTAAATCACAGTGAATTAGTTGGAAAATGTCCTGAGACTTATTTGCACTATCAGAAAAAGAATCTCTACTTTGTTTAGCTCGAAAACAAATATCACAAGGCAAAGAGGTTGACCCTTTCAAGTCACGAACTGGTTCTAGCCAATGTAGTACTTTCCCAGACGGATGCCCCATGCGTGTTTGCCACATATA